ATGTAATAAAAATTTGGGGTGATTTTGGAGCCATTTTTTGGAAAAAACCATGGGCTATAGCCTTGGGTCCTTTTCAGAAATTTGGTGCTTTTTTAAAATGGCCGTAACTTGAAAAATTGATGTCGGATCAGCTCAAACTTGCTACACAGCATAAGTACATCAATATGTATCAAAAATGTAATAAAAATTTGGGGCCTTTTTTTGAAAAAATCATGGTACATGTGTTATAATTGGACTCGCCGCGTAGGCGAGTATTAAGTACTTTGGTTGTCTGTCTGTGATCATGAAATTTTTGAAAAATATTTTTAATTAAGAAACTAAGTGCTCTAGGCCTAGAAACCACGCCTCTATTAATAATTGGCAATTTTACATGCTTGGATTTCTTAATGCATTATTTTTTGTTTTGCTGTCTTATGCATGATCTCTTCAGCAAATATAATCTATCAAGAAACAGTATCTGTGCCATCACAATAGGTGTTAGTTTTTAAACTTGAGTCAGTGCAAACATGTACTATTAAAAACATTGAATCATGGTTCTTGTCTTTATCATGCTGCATAATAGAGATGAAGCCCATGTTTCATTGCTTTTACATAAATTCAGGAGCAACTGCAGTGAGTCCAAGCACCGTAGGTGTCTCGTTGCTGATATTGTTTATTTATTTTAGAGAGTATTAAACTCACTGATTGCTCCTGGCAGACTGAGTATAAGGACACCACCAATTGATGGGAGAATGGGTAATTAAATTTATTATTATTATTATTATTATTATTATTATTATTATTATTTCAAGGTGTTATTTGTAGTTCAAGAGTATTATCAAGTGCTTATCCAAGACATGAAGGGTTAGTTCAGTACATGTACATGCAAATAATATTTCACTGTATGCAGCATAATTTTTGTTATTTTTGTGCTCACTAAGTTTAAGCCACCTCTAGTCCCATTCTATTGTACATGTATGTATAAAGACTGTGACCACAATAGAGTACATGTATCTAGTGTTCATGTATAATGTATCTCTGTCTGTTTGTAGTGTTCCAACGTCAGTTACTTCTACTTCTAATCAATCCATGATCAATGAAAGGTAAATAAACATGTATTGTTTATTTATTTGTTTGTTTATTTATTTTTTAATTATATTCCAGAAGGCTATCAGCTCCTTTATCATGGAGTGATTTTCAATCACAGCTAGCAAACAACGGAAGCTATTCACATCAACGGTAATGTGCATACAATATACAGCATGTATGTACATGTACTTTTACAATAGTGGGAATTAGTAGGTCAATTTTAGCTACAGTGAAACCTTTAATTTGATATAGGAATGTCTTACTACCTCAGATATTATATTCTCTTCCTGCTAGCTAGACACTTACACTTAATTTCTAAAAAAACTTTTGATGTACGAGTTAACTTTCCTTTTATTTCTTCTCTCTCCCTCCCTCCCCCCTCTCTCTCTCCCTCCCCCTCTCTCTTCTTCAGTCCATCACAGGTAGAGATGTCTTCTGCTAGATATCA